TGCGTTTATGCAAACCAGTAATTTCAACTTCTAGCGTTTGAATCAGTTAGCTATGAGACAATAGGAGTTGCTCGGATGGTAAGCACCCTCCACTTCCAATGCTAAGGTTGTGGGTTCGAGTCATCAAGAGAGAAAAAAGGTGGGAACTCCTAGGGAGGGGTAAAAAGAAAGAAAGAAAATCAGTTAGGTGTGCTTGTCCTCAAACTCTAATCACTCCCTTGACATTGGCCTTAATGTTACTATGTGAATTTGATGGTAGTTGATATCTGTAACAATTAAGAATCCTTTTGTATTCCAAGAATACTAGTTATAAGAGAACCCTTATGAATATTACGAAGTAAAGGAGTACTGCACAAATAACAGAAGCAGTTTTGTTTCTCAAAGAAGTAACAGAAGCATTTCTACATTTTCATTTTCTGAAAAGAATAGCAGAAGTTTCCAGTTAAAGATTTCACCCTTACCTTTTCTCTGCTACTAAATAACAAGATGTTTCACACTTTATTGGTCTGACCCTGTTGATTTCTGGGATTCCTCTCTATTGGCTGATTAAAAACGCATTCTTCTCAAAAAAGAAAAAAACTTGGAGAGTTTGTTTTGGTTGTATTAGCTAATGACAACTTTTGGTAATTAAAACATACTATGGATAACATCTCATTTATAGGGCTTCAAAGGAATCTGAGTCTGGGGCTAGCTTTGATGCTTTTTTATTGTATTCAGTAAACTATTCCAGTCAGTGACCATTTCAATGGTGTCTTTTGTAGAGAACTGGAGTGTCTATTCCAGTAGGTTCCCTACTTTTTGCTGTACTTCTTGAATTCGATATTTAATACCACATCTTTTACATATTCAATAACTTTCTTATTCTAACCTGTGACCAATTTGCACCAAATCTGGAAGGTCTCTTGCTTTCCTTTTTCCAATTTTTTTTTCTGCATCTTCTGAATGTTGAAGAATGAATATAAAATTCTGGTTCAAGCTCATAAAAGTTGAGGTTAGTGCTTGAGGAATCTGGAATTAGCTCACGTTAAACTTCTTGATCATATTCTTGGGTTAAGTTGAGCTTGAAAATGAGCTTAAACTCAATTGTTTCTCGGTAAAATAGGGGAAGCTGACCCTTTGGGGTGGCCCAGTGGTTTGGGCTTGGGACTTCCATGTTGGAGGTCTAAGTTCGAAACCCCTTGCCAGCGAAAGCAAGGGATTTGCCTTCTGGGTCGAGCTCGTCGCACCGGGCTTGCCTAGTGCGGGTTACCTCTCCTATGTGGTTTGCGAGCTATTGCATAGGAGCGGGGGTTTTACCCTCTGCGGGTTTCCCTTGTCATAAAAAAAAATAAAAAAAATAGGGGAAGCTGCCAAAACATCTATCATTTCTTTGCTCGCATTGATTGCATTCTTCATGCATATTCCTGTCAAGTTTACACTTGCCATGGAGCTGCTTCTCTCTCTCTCTCTCTTTTTAAAAAAAAATATCATGCTGATTCATCTTTTGGTCTCAAAACTGTTTATTTCTTCTTCTTTTTCTATTTTACTTTTATAATTACTACTCCCTCTGTCCCATTTTATATGACACACTTTGACTTGGCATAGTGTTCAAGAAAAAAAATGACCTTTGAAACTTGTGGTCTAAAACAATCCTTAGATATATGTGTGGTTGTAAATCATTTAAAAGAGAAATTTTAAAGTTAATTTGTTTCTAGTTATAGTAAGGTGACATTCTTTTTGGGATGGACTCAAAAAGAAAGGATGCCAGATAAAATGGAACGGTGGGAGTATTATTTTATGTATCTTTTCTCTATGTTCTCACTTGTTGATTCTTTTTTGAGAAAGGTGTTTCTTTTTTCTTTCAGGAGCACTTTAGAATCATATGCTAGCAAAGGGTACTTGATTTTCTTAACACATTCTTCAAAATTGTTAGGACTTCATGTTGCCAATCGATCTGTTGGGACCCCTCTTGATATTAGGAAGTTGATTGCCACTATTCCTTTTTTATATAAGATGAAAAAATATTCGTAGAGTTTTTCTTCTTGAGTTACATGATCCAGTAGTTATTGTATTCATTAAGCTACTCCCCAGACTAAACCAGTGTTTTTAACAGCCATCGCGTCATCGCTTAAAGTGATGTGGGTGATGCCCTGTGCTTTAGAGAAGTTTGTGCTTCAAAAAATGGTGCACAAACTGATTCCAACGAGTTCTCTTTTTGGAATCTCAACTTTGAGTAGCTGGATTAACATCGACGTGATTATATATTTGATGCTTAAATTAATTGTGTGAATTGCAACTTAATTTTAATTGTACAAAATTCATATTTGTTTGATCATTTCTAATTTTTTTGTAAATTGTGTGCTTTGCTTTAAAGAAGTGTGACCTTCACTTCTCTCTTTTCGCTTCAAGCCCCATGGATTTAATCGCTTTTGAAAGCACTGGATTAGACCATGTGGACCAGCTACCATCCTTTCTGTAAATACAATGATTGCACGTAGTAGTAAGTTGAATAGGGGCATCTTTGTACTTGAAGTGAATCTCTACACCCTGTTCAGTAACCAGGTCTTGATTTCTTTTCCTTCATTTTATCTTTTCTCAAGTTCATATTTTCAATGATGTCGGCGAACGAGATACTAAAGATAGCTAGATACTCTAGGCAGCTCATTTGGAGAGATGTCATTGATCACCTCAAAATTTTGAGATCAACCTGAGTTAGAAGCTACATGATTAGCATTGATTTGATTGTCTTACCAATTTGGTGATCTCCAATTGTTATTGACTTATTGTATTATGGTCTCTATTGTCCGTGCTTTGGTGTTGCAAGCTTTTACATTGACTTATGTCGTAGAACTTTGTGGCAATTACTCTCTAGCTTTATCTGTTCCTACTGGAAGAACCTTGGCTTGATAGTTGAACTTGCTTTATTTGTTGATCTCCAAATTTTGTCTAAAAGGCAATGTTCTTAAGCTCTTTGGCGTGGCGATGTGCTTTGGCAATTGAATTGATTTATAGCCTATCAGTCATAGGAAATGTGTCCATATGTTGCAACGTGTAGAGTGATAGATATTTTGTTGAATATTTTGCAGGTGATAGGTTGACCAAACAGATATGGAAGACATACTAACAGAAATCCCTCCACCTTCAAGGTTCTTTTTGGAAGATCTGAACAACTTTTGTCCTCCATCCCCTCCTCTTCCCTCTCCATTCCTGTTGTTTTCAACTCCTAACCGGGAGAAGTTTTCTCGCCCTTCTCTCCTCATCATTGCCATATCTTCTCCGTCACTACAAGTTTTTCATCATGTGTCTTCCAAAACCCTTGTTGGAACTGTTATCCTTCCTGAGATCCCATTCTCTGGCAATTCAGTTGAACCCTCTCTTAAAGACAAATCATGCAATATATATGCCCTGAATGAAGATGATAACTTGATTATGATTGTGTCTGTTCAATATCCAGTTACTGCAGAGAGATCTCATGCAGTCGCAAAGCTACTGATTGGAGAACAGGTTATCCCGGAAAAGGTCTTAATTTTGGATTCCATCCGAAGTTCTAATTTTAGAGGAAGACTTTCACCCGATGAAGCATTTGCATTTAAGCTGGAATCATCTGCAGAGAGAAAAGCAAAAGCTGATGGCCATCAAGATTCACCACTGGTAAAATGCGCAGACTATCTTCCATCAGGAAGTGTTGTAGATGGCTTGGCAGCAGCTTTATTAAGCCGATGTCAGTTAAAGAAGATAAGGGGAACTCTGTGTGTTTCATGGCCTGAAGTCAGTGTTTCAGTTATATCACTTGTTAAGTCTCTACTGCTCAAGGATGTCCTCTCCCGCGTGAAGCATATTGACATGAAGAAGCTCGAGGAGGAATTTCTAAAATTAAGCCGGAGTAAGGATTTCCTTCTTGAATCTGAACTCTATACATGATATCTCTGGTTTGAATCAAATGGCCCTTCTTCTGATCCCAGTAACGCGTAGATCGTCCAATGTAGTTCGAATAGAACAATATTTTCATCATCTCCTGGATTTTACCAGCTTGACATGGTTTACCATGCCATATCAATTTTATGTTTTACAGCTACTTAGAGTGATTTTATAGGTGTTTATGGACTTACATGGTCAGTGTATGAAACACTATAAATTTAGCTACTTTGAGACAATCTTTTTATTTTTACAAACATTTTGTTTTGGCCAAATAAGCCTTAGTTGTGCATTGTGACCATCACTCATATCACGCTAAAATTTTATCAAGAGAACGGTAAATACTTATTTCCATCGGATATTTATATCAAATTATATAAACTTAATACTGCCTCCGTTTCAAAAAGAGTAACATAGTTTGACTTGGCACAAGTTTAAGAAACTAAAGAAGACTTATAAATCTTGTGGTCCTAAATTAAAGTTATGTCAAATGTACAAAATTGCCCGTTAATCTTGTGGCCTTAAACATGTCATGTGGAAAGTTGAAATTAAAATGTTACCAAAAAAGAAAGAGGTTATTCTTTTTGAAATAGACTAAAATAAAGGAGGTCATTCTTTTTTAAACTGAGGGAGTATAATGAAGTCCCACATGACACATTCTCTACTTAATAAACTATAATCAAATACATCTTTGATCTTGCCATATGGGTGAAATATACCCTAATTTTTTGTCAAGTTTAAGAGTATTTTCAAATACTTTTCTCGATTTTTTATTAAGAATTTCACTCCTACAAAAGTTTGAGAACACTTGCTATGCCATGTGACATATCAAGAATGCATTTAAGATCAGTTAGAAAAGTAGAAGAATGTCATTAAGACTGTCAAACAATTTCGGAACGAAACAAACAATTCAAGCCAAGTTTTCTCAATAAGCCATAAAAACTCGGACTTGTTTCAATTATTTCTTTATTTTGAGAAATAAGATATGTTGCAAATATTTGAGAATAAACATAAAAAATAATCAAATTTCGAACGATTTTTTTTTTTAATATAAACACTTTATCATTTGCGATATCGAAAAAAAAAGGTGTCCAATATGTAAATATCGTAAATGAGAAGGATCAATATATAAGTCAAGTACTCTTTGCAAATTTCACACAAAACAGAGCAGAGAGCAAAACCCTCAAACACAAAGTAAGCAACAATGGAGGGCGTCTCGTACCAGAGATTCCCAAAGATAAAAATCCGTGAAGTTAAAGACGATTTCATGAAATTCGAGCTCCGGGAAACCGACGCCAGTATAGCCAACGCTCTCCGGCGTATAATGATAGCTGAAGTACCTACTATAGCTATAGACCTAGTTGAAATCGAGGTCAATTCCTCTGTTCTCAACGATGAGTTCATTTCTCATCGTTTAGGGCTTGTTCCGCTTACAAGTGAACGAGCGATGAGCATGCGCTTCTCACGTGACTGTGATGCTTGTGATGGTGATGGACAATGTGAGTACTGTTCGGTTGAGTTTTATCTCCGGGTGAAATGTCTTAGTGACCAGACGCTTGATGTTACTAGTAAGGATTTGTTGAGTTCTGACCATACGGTTGTTCCTGTTGATTACTCGGATACTTCCTCCAGTTTCGATAATACTCCTAATAAGTGAGTTTTTCTTTTTGTTTTGGTTGGCTGGATTGAAATATTATTTTTGTTGTCTCAGATGGTTTTATGTATATAAGCTTATTGTTACATATAGACATTGAGCATCTAGGGCTATGATAAATCTGGGAAGTAGTTAGTTCTTTATTGCTTGCCCAACCTAGTCTAAGCTCCCGATTGGCCATAGATTATGAAGTTGAAACTTGAAAAATTGAGTTTTTGAAGTTGTGTTTGGACATGCATTTTACTTGGAAAAAGTTGAAGCTTTGTGAGTGGATGTACCAAAAATCTAAAAACTGGTTCAGAACAATTTTTGGGAACTTGAAATACTTTCGTGCAGATATTTGAGGATGAATTTTCGGAAAACTACTCCCAAAATGTATGGTCAAATGCTAGCTAAGTAGTTTGGGCTTGAGACATTGTTGTTGTCATTGCCTTGAATATGCATATGGGCAGTTTTATGTTTATGAGTGTTAAGCTTAGTCGGGTTACGGTAACTCCTCCAATGATTGTTTTTTGTTTGCCCATCTAGCTGACTTGAACTCGTTTAGGTTTGAGGCCCTATTGTTGTTATCTTTTGAAAAGGTACAATTTGTACATATATCAAAAATCAGCATCAAGGCTGCTGCCGGGGAGGGGGGGGGGGGTTGTTATTGTTGCTGTTGCTATCATGTTCTCTAATAACTCTGTGCGTGCAGGCATTAAGCATTCAATAGAAATACACTCTCTGTTTGTCCTTGAGTTGTTCTTAACCCTAACCAATTATAGGGAGGTATTATGAACTTTTACTCTTTCAAAAGGTTGGGAAATGATACAAGGTACTTGTTAATTTAGGGTCAAGATGCTTAGAATGATTAAGTTAATAGTTCGATGGTGACAAATTATAGTTAAGTTGGGACAAAGTAGTAAAGTTGTCATTTTTAGGATTTGGAATGAGTCATTTGTTGATTGTTCTTGGTCTTTTGGTATATCTGGGTATTGTTATCTCTAGAACTGCCAATGACGAATTGCATCATTCTGCTGTGGCTCAGTTCTTCTTATGTTTTCATCTTTTTTATAGAGATTGTAGATCGGTCTTGGTGATTATAAGAATTTTGTGTTGGATGAAATTACAAAGGGTTGACATGATTCTGGTTCCAATTGGTGAATCTTCTGTTCTTTTGCAGATGCACATTAAGGTGCCTTTGATATGTCATTTCATGAAGTGCAGAAGAATATCCCATAATTCTGTTGAATTATTATGCTGTGCATTTCGAGAAAAAGTGATTAGATATCAATCAAGCTCCAAGTGAACTTAGTAAATAGGGAATTTTGTTTTATCGAAACAACAGTAGTTTTGAAGGTGGTGTTAGTTAAAGAATACCATGTGAAAAAAGGATCTTAGTTTATCTTACTCTACCCTTTTTGTCACAGCTAATACAAGAAAGTAATGTTATTTCTAATATGCTTATTTGGTGATTTGTGGTGCAGAAATGCCTTGGTTTATACGTGCAAACTATCCTGAGAGGATATTTACAATCTTGCTCTATTTTATGCAGGGGAATCATAATTGTGAAGCTACGACGTGGACAGGAGTTAAGGTTAAGAGCTATAGCACGGAAAGGAATTGGCAAAGATCACGCGAAATGGTCACCTGCAGCAACTGTGACTTTCATGTATGAACCAGAGATCTACATCAATGAGGACATGATGGAATCCTTGACTCTCGAGGAGAAAACAGAATTAGTTGAGAGTAGTCCCACAAAAGTCTTTGGCATTGACCCTGAAAACAAACAGGTTTGTTGAACTTCGTACTTCATATGTTTAATTGCTATAAAATGATATACTGCTATGCCTGAATTTTTCCTCTTATCTGTTCAGCACTATATGTGGTTCCTATTACTTTTTCAATGAACAGCATGTCATGCTTTATATGGTGATGAATGAAACACTCTCTCTGTCCCATTTATCCTGAGATTATCTCTAAGATTCTTATCATGTTCAGAGTCTGCCATTGATGGTATACCGATAAATGATTCACTTGACTAGGAGACTGGGAAATGCATAATAGTTGGAAATCCTAGTACCTCTCCTGGAATTCCTCTATGTGGTAGTAGATGGCCCAATACGATATGGGTCTATGCTTCTATGGTGAGATTCCATATTATTTTTTTTTGAGAAGGTAACAGTTTTTGTATAACCATTTGCTGGATAAAAACTACAGCTGTCCATACTTACAATGAAATATAGGAAGATGTACTAAGCTATAACCTACTTACAGAGATACTAGAACATCAATAAAAGATTCTATGTCTTCCATATATTCATGTTTACACCAAAAATATAAGAGGGCTAGGCACTTCATCTTCAGTTTCCGGATAGAGCAGTGATTGTCTTCAAAACACATTTGGTTTCTCTCTTTCCAAATTGTCCACCAAATGCAAGCAGGGATAATCTTCCATCTTTCTTTCTGTTCTGACTGAGTGCTATATTTGTTCCAGCACTCCAACACTTCGAGCGTATCTCTTGGCATCACCCACATGCTCCCTTTTAAATTAAGGAAAATCCTCCAAAGTTGTCCAGTTAACTTGCAGTGAGATTCCTTGTTTTAGTTATCTGTACATGAGAGTATGTCAAAGATCCATTTTTTATAAAGTAACTATATCAAAAGATTCATTTTTTATGAATTGAGTGTATTAAATGATTTCATTTTTATAAAGTGAGTATGTCAAAAGATCCATTTTTTATGAAGTGAATGTATTAAATGATTCATCTTTATAAAGTGAGTATATCAAAAAAACCATTTTTAAGTGAGTTCAAATGATTCATTTTCTATAAAGTAGTATATCAAAAGATTCATGTAAAGTTAAATAGAACTAAAATGAGCTATATTTTTCTCTTGGGGAATAGATCCTGAAAAGGTCTTGGCTAGTGCAGGGAAAAAATTACACTTTTCACGAAATTTGACACATTTTCAGATGAAAAGAAAGTATTTGTAGACGAGTTAATTTGGCATAGAGGGAGTACTTGGGCTTAATTGGTTCATACAGCTATCCTGGATTGCTTATGTGTATAAATTATGAGCAAGCTCCTCATATGTGGTAATAAATAACTGTGGAGCATGAATTGATTATTGCATATTACCATTTTGTTTACAATTTCGTCTGATTGGCAAAAGTGGTTCTAACTAATGTAAAGAGTGACCCTTTTAGTTCCTTTTTTTTTGTTTTCTGGAATCTGTTCATGAATTGTAGGTTTATTAATGTGTCATGAAACAACAATTTTCTTTCAGTAATGTATTATTACCTATATGTGGAGTACACACAGCTGAACTGACTAAGGGTGATAGCTTCCACTGGGATGCTTTGAGCCTGTTATGGTAGAGAAAATATAGCAAGAAAAATCAAGAGAAACTAAGGGGGATGTCAGACCTAAGTAGTCATCTTCTGTCCCGCTTTACTGAAAAGTTGATTTGGGTCGTTGTTAGTTGTTTGGTCCAGGGTAATATAGGTTTTTAACTCTAAAGTTAACTCTAAGTAGTCATCTTCTGTCCTGCTTTCCTGAAAAGTTGACTTGGGTCGTCGTTAGTTGTTTGGTCCAGGGTAATATAGGTTTTTAACTCTAAAGTTTTCTCTTGTCAATTCGGTGAACTCTGGTGTGCTCCAATTGAGGGGTAATGACAGAAAGCAGTTACAGCATGCTGGAAAATTAAAACTAAAATTTCTGGATATTTGTTAGATGCGAGTAAGCAAAACTTTTCACGTGAAGCATCATGTTTTTGCTAAATCTGAATGGGGATCTAATAGTGTACTGATTTTTTCATTACATTGACTTTCTATGAGCTTATTTAGGAAAATGCTAAATGATTGCTTTTTGAAATGAAAGAAAAAGAAAAACACTGAATTGTATCATTGGATAGTTAAGGAGATGGAATTTCAGTGTTAGGATTTCTAGTGGTATTTCTATTTATTGGTCAACTATAACTTCATTAGATATACAAGATCTGAAGAATAAGATTGCAACTCAAGGTATTTTGGCTAACAAAAACAAGATTTAGAAGATCGGATCAAAACAAGATTTTGAAGCCTTCAGTACAGAGGTTTATATGGGGATTTTAACTCTAATAGAATCCACCAAATTCTGATAAATTCCGATCAGAGCTCTACAAGTCATAATCATTTGTATGAGGGGTTGCACGCTTTCCTTTTCATTCAGCATGGTAAAAAAACAGAATTAGTTTGTTCTGGGCTTGCTTGGTGGTCAATCTACTGAAGCCTGGAAAATGAGGGAGATCTCAACTTGTAACCTAGTCTGATGACAAGGGAAACATGTATTAATAGGTCAATGAGAGAAGCAACTCGAGACATCTCCAATTAATTCCTTTTATTGGTTTGTCATATATATTCTCTGGGAAGCTCTACTCGAGACATCTCCAATTTCATCTTCATCTTTACAGGTTATTGTCGTTGATCCTGAGGCATATACTTATGATGATGAGGTGCTCAAGAAAGCTGAAGCCATGGGAAAACCTGGAGTGATAGAGATACATGCCAAGGAAGATAGCTTTATTTTCACTGTTGAGACAACTGGCGCAGTCAAAGCTTCACAATTGGTGCTCAATGCAATAGAAGTGCTGAAGCAGAAGTTGGATGCAGTACGCCTTTCAGATGACACCGTGGAAGCAGACGATCAGTTTGGAGAGCTGGGCGCTCATATGCGTGGAGGTTAAAAACCTCATTGGTTAAAAACCGTGAAAACTGTTCATGTTTAATATATCTCCTGTAACAAGACATCCTTGAACTACTTACCCATTTTCCCTTTAGGAACTTACCTCAACTGATCATGGAAACGTAGGTTTCTGTTTCGTTTAAGTACATGTTTTTGTCCATCATCTTGTACTGATACTGAACTTTCGTTGAATTTCATCTCGCAATTGATCATCACTCCCCGTTTATGGATTTTGTTTTGAGTTGAGAGTCTATCAAAAATAATCTCTTTATCTTCACGACTCATGTGAAGGTTAAGGTTGTGTACACATCACCTCACGAGATAGGAATAAGGCTATGTATATATCACCTTTCCCAAATCTATATGGTGAAAGGATAAAACAAATTACTTAAAGTAAAAATAATGTTATTTAGAAATACTAGTTGAACCGTGATGATCAAAGCTTTGGTTAGTCAGTTGCTTATCCAGAAAAGGAGGAAAACAACATGTAACAAAACGTATTGGTTTCAACTGGAGTTAAACAGGCGAGTTCATCTGAATCTTTTTTGTCGGAAAATTATAATGTATATATAAGGTAATTTTTTTTTATATATGTATGTATTCGACTTGTAGCATTTTGGTATAAATCATATTTTTTATTTGTTGATGTAATGATATTTATACTTTATGGTTTATGCTACCATGTTTACATATTGTATTGATTTTTTCTAAAATGTATAAATAAATAAAGCAACTCTCATAATAGAGTAACACTGCCTTACGCCCCGTGTTTCAAGATTTACGTCTCATTTTGCGCCCCCGCCTTTTAAAAAAGTGGCATCAAGCTGTACCTAACCTCCAATTATCGCTGGTCAATTTTACCCTTGAATCCACTCTATTATTACCATTAAACCACTGTCTCTCCCTCTATTTAAACATTTTCCTTTCAAGTGTTATTATGTGAAAAAAGTGAAAATTAAGTAAAGTAGAAATCAATGGCTTGTGTTACTAAATTGCAAGTTGAGAATAATGTGTTCCCATCAACAGTGGTTAAGCCTCCTAATTCCAACAATACCTTTTTCCTTGGTGGAGCAGGTTTTCTTAATTAATTTTTGCACAAAAAATGTTTTTTTTTAGTCTATCGATAAATTAACTATATGTTGCATGTATAATGGTAAGTCTTTATTATGATTGTTCTCATGATAATAACTCAGTTGCTTGACTACTAGTCTATAATCTAATAACTTTGCCCTATGTGAATGTTAATAACTCAGTTGTCTGACCACTAATATTGTAATCCCCTCCCCCGTCCCCAATTAAATAAAAAAGTGTGATCTTGCTTACTTTGTCAGTCCCGAGTAACGGAGGAGGGTTATGGTAGGGTGATAGCTCGTAAAACTTGTCAATTCATGTTGAATTTTGAACTCCACATGTTAGAGCTTGCATACATTGTCAGCTCTAAGACAGGATAAAGGAAGAGGGCTATGGTAGGGTGGAAGTAAGCTTAAAACTTGTTATTTCACAATGAGTCAAACTTGTTTGTGACTGAGGCGTAGTTGTTGTATAATCTATGGATCTAATGCAGGACATAGAGGTTTGGAAGTTGAAGGGAAATTTGTGAAGTTCAGTGTGATAGGGGTGTACTTGGAAGAGAATTTTATTCGATTTCTCGCGGCTAAATGGAAAGGGAAAAGCTCTGAGGAGTTGACATATTCACTCGAGTTCTTCAGGGATATCGTTACAGGTATGTGCTAAGATTGAAATGTGAACGTAATAGATCAATGTTCTTTGTAACAAGGTATAAAAGAAGAAAATGATTTAGTGAGTACCAAATTTTATACACTCCCCTGAGTTTGAGCTACACTTAGGTATGACTTGGACAATCCTCTCCATCGAAGTTAATGTTTATGAACGTTTGTTATCTATGTTAGGTCCGTTTGAGAAATTCATGCGAGTGACATTGCTCTTGCCCTTGACTGGTAAGCAATTCTCCGAAAAGGTGGCAGGAAATTGTGTTGCCATTATGAAATCAATAGGAACTTACAGTGATGCAGAGAGATTGGCTATCGTAAAGTTCCTCAATGTTTTCAAGAGTGAAACCTTCTCACCTGGTGCTTCCATCCTTTTTACTCAATCACTAGTTGGATCATTGACGGTATGTATAATCAACTAAGAACTTGCACGTTGCATCATCGAGTTATTAGGATCCTTTTGGACTATATGTATGCATCAAAAAATCGATTGTACTATTTATCTGTAAGTAAGCTCATTGATGTAAACTTCTATAACTCCAGATTAGCTTCTCTGATGATGATTCAATTCCTGGCTGGGGGAATGCTGTTGTAGAGAACAAACCATTATCAGAAGCAGTACTGGAATCGATGATTGGCAAGAACGGAGTTTCCCCTGCAGCAAAGCGTAGTCTTGCTAAAAGAGTATCAGAAATGTTAGAAAAGAGCAATGCTGAGGAGTCTACTAAAGATTCGATTTGATGTTGTTAAGGTTGGCTGAGTATACTAGACGAATAATTTAGCCTAGCTTCTGAGAGTGTGTTTCGATAAATATTTTGAGTAGGAAAATAACTTGATGCCAATAAGTGATGGAAACATTTCACTGTTTGGTGTGTTTTCATCTTCTTTTCAAAATATGGTTGTGTTTGTATGCATCAAGTACTCAATAAAATTACTCTCTATTTGATATCAACAAGGTACTTGTTAAAGTATGGTTAAGATGTTTTCAAATAATTAAGCTTTGGTTGAATATGATGTAGTACAGTTTGAACAATTCTAATGGGGGAAATTATAGTTGTTGGGTTGGGATAGAGGAGTAGTAACGTTGCTGAGATGGATGTGAGGGCATAAAAGGAGTCAGGAGGGATAAGATTAGGATTGAAGTTATTCGGGTCAAGGTGGGAGTGGTCCTCGTGGAGGATAAGATGCGGCTTGTGGAGAGTGAGGTTGAGATGGTTTAGGCATGTGAAGAGGAGATGTGTGGATGCTCCAGTAAAGAGGCACGATAAGTTGACCATAGAGTACGTACTTGAGGAGGGGTAGAGCTAGGCCAAGTATTCTTATAAACTCTACCAAGCGATCCCTAATTAACAATATGGGAATTGTTATGTAGGGATCTGCCTATTTTTACGAAAACTTGTCTTGAATACTAACTTACTATAGTTAAGTTATAATCTAACTATAGTTTAGTGATACCGGTGTTTCCAAAGAAGCCTATGTATGAATAAAGATTAATCTGACTTTTTTGCCTAGCTACTCTAGATTGGGGGGCCAAAAGTACATACTTTATATATTTGGTTTAAATAAGGCCTAACTTTTGAATGTGAATCAGACCAACCACATCATGTTCATCTTCTTCTATTCACAGATATACACAAAACTTCTTTCCAGATCATGAATTAGTAACAACTTTCAATTTCGAAAAGAAAAAGATAATCAATTGTGTTAAACTTTTCATTTTTGAAATAGTTACGGAATCTCTATGAATTGGAACAAAACGTATTTCATGGTATTTACATGAGGTTCCTTTTTAAGAAAATATTTTATCTCTATTCTCAAGCTAAGTAACTAGTTATAGTTGTGAGGGTCATTGTCGAGTTCACTTTCAATTCTGACCATTATTCCCAAGATTCAAACAATTGCAAATGATATAACTAGTAAATATATTTATCTCTACAACAATATACTTTATTGAGATAGACGGATTCCCCCTCTAAGAACTATATATGAGACATTCATCTCGTACAGTTCAAGCAAAAACATCAAAATACTAATTGCAACGGATATAAAATACAAACTTTAAATTTATTAAGTTCTGATCACATCTTCTTTGGAAAATCTGAACTTTTCTTTGTGGGTATAATACCAATATATCAAGTTGACACAATTGTCTTTATCTTTATTTTGATACTTATGGACTACAAAGATAAATTATGCAAAAAATAAACAATAATTTTGCTGCTTCATTTCAAATTATAGTTATCATGTTATTTTTCCTAAGTCAATTTAATTAATGTTCAAAATATTAAATTAGATTATTTTAATATCCTACAATTATAATTTTAAATATTCAAAACCTATATCCCTCTATTCTATATTTAATGAAAGTTTTTAGGCTTTTTCATTGTTCAAAATAATTGAATTATTTAAAGTTTAAGATGGATGTTTGAAATTTTTTCTATATTTATCCTTTCCTTTAATACAGTTTAATATTTTCTAGGAAGTAAATAAAACTACTTACCAAGTTATATTTATGATTCATAAAAGATAATAGTTAAAAATATCGTTCAAATTTTGTCCGTAAATGTTTTTCTTAATAGGTGTGCATTGTCTTAGAAATTCAATTAATACTCCCTCTATTCGTTATTAACTGAATTTTTGGGACTTTTTTCATTGTTCAAAATAATAGAATTGTTCAAAGTTCAAAATGGATGTTTGAAATTTTTTCCATTGTTTCCCTTTCCTTTAAATGAAGTTTCATATTTTCTAGGAAATAAATTAAACTAATTACCAAGTTATATTTATGATTTCACAAACGCCAATAGTGAAAAATATCATTCAAATTATGTCATTAAAATTTTTCTTAATAGGTGTGCATTGCTGCACAAATTCAATTAATACTCCCTCTATTTCATATCAACTCAATTTTTGGGTTTTTTTCATTATTCAAAATAATAGAATTGTTCAAAGTTCGAAATGGTTATTTTGAAAAAAATTCAATCTTTGCCCTTTCCACTAATGAAGTTTTATATTTTTCAAGAAATAAATTAAACTACTTACCAAGTTATATTTATAATTTCACAAAGTAGAAAATATCATTCAAATAATGTCCTCAATTGTTTTTCTTAATATGTATACTAACATCCCTTTTTTAATCATTGTTCTTCTTATTATTTATTATTTATTATTTATTAGGTGGCGTCTTCCTATTGGATTTTCCCAATTCACCCCGACCCAATTCAAAGAACATGTTTGTTTCCCAAAATGAAAATTTCTAATTATGATATAAATTTATCAAAATTTCTTCCAAATTAGACAAAAACATTCATTACAACTTTTTAGATCTCTTTATATAGTGTGTTAAAAGGAGAAGGAGGACAACTACAATCAGTGGCGAATTTAGAGCCAAAAAAAAGGGCAATTGCACCCGTGGTCTCTCCGTAAAATTAGATATTTTATATGTATATTTTTTAAGATTTTGTATAATATTATATTTTTGCACCCGTACTACAAGAAGTCTAAACGGTCCAGT